ATCCGAACCCTCAGCAGGAGCGCCACCGCACTCCCAAGCGGCGCACTGTAGCAGTGCGCCAGCGGGCCGGCCCCACACAGACCTTTTCTAAGCTATAGTTTCAACTTCTTACCTTCCTTGATCTGCTGTGCATTTATTTTCCCTGCCCTTCATGCATAGACGTGAAAACCAAACTATTCATTAACTCACTCATTCATCCATTCAACTATCAGTGACCACCTGCAACTTGCTACATATTTGACTAAATGTGGGGAAATCAAAGTTAGACAAGGCCGCTGTGTAATGCCTGTTGGAGATGGAAGAGAAATCCAGCAGACTACGAATGAGAGAATCAGCCTACAGAATGAGACAACTCAAGTGGTCACAACAAGTGCTGGGGACATCTTGAAGAAGACAACTGTGACAGAGGGTGACATTTTCCCTACCTTTTCTGCAAGCCAGCCAAGATGCCTGATCTCTCGGCTCCCAGCAATGCCTGTTTTCCCCAGCTGCTCCCTGACCTCGGCAATCGCTCGGGTCAGCAGGTCACTCACATTGGAATGGATGGCACTGAACCAGGCCTGGGCGGTGGCTGAGTCCTTGCTCCTTAGGATCACTGTGTGCTTTGCATCTGGAGAGTGGATTTCCAGCTGCCTAGAGAAGCAAAGAGAGAAGTGTTAGAAGTTTCCCCAGCAGATCCTGCTTCCTTAAGAGGTGGGTCACAAACGTGAGTTCCTTACTCTGACTCTTAGACTTTGTGTTTTTCATGGTTTACTTCAATGGCATTCATCCGTTCATGCATTCATTCATCCACAAATATTTATTGAGTGCCTGCATTTATTGGTCTCCATGCTGGGGACATGTCAGTGTGACCACCAAATCAACTGAACTAAGGATGGCTGGTTTTCTTGTTATCCAGCTGATTGGCTTATCAGTAATATCATATCAAGACTTCCAAACTGTGAGCTGATACTAATTTGTCTTACTTCTCAGTCCATGGAGGATTTTAATAATATACTCACCTCCCTGCTGCTGGCAGGAAGTAGATTGAAATATCCAGCCACATGCTTTCTCCTACTGCTCAGTGTTAATCAATTGAGAATATTTTAGAATAAAAAACAACTAAACTTTGCACTTTTCAGATAAATGGGCAGTAAATATAGGGCGAGTTTGCCTTCCCTCCCAAAGTTCTTAATTCTGCATAGCAGAACACAAACGAGGATTCTCAAAAAGCAGTAATGAGATCTCAACTTGCTTTTCAAATTATTCTATCAATACCTATTATTCTAGGGATTTAAAACACTCATGTACTCACTCATAAGTGGGAGCTAAAAAATAAACAAAGAAAAAAGAAAGAAAGAAGGAAAGAAACGACATCAGTTAACAGTAATTCACTGAACTTTCAAAAGGAGAGAAAAGAACTGAGGCCATCAGCAAAGGAGAAGGGGAGGTAGGATTAGTGAGAAATTGATAAAGGGCCACAAAATATGATTACATTGTGTAATGTTGAATATACTAATTATCCCGATTTGAGCATCACATATTGCACACAGGTATTGATATTCAATGCTGTACCCCACAGATACG